TTTCATGCAATTTATTTTTCAAGTATTATTACTAAAGTCTTCTATGTCTTATATACAACTTAGTTTTATGCAATATGCTATAGTTATCTAATACTTGCAGTCAGAGCTAATCTTAAACTGCTATATTATACTATTTTACTTTTGTAAAGTTTACTAGAATATCTTTCTGACATCTTTTTTATTATTTTCTACTAACTGCTACTCAGAACTAACAAATTTTGACAAGACTACCAATTCAGATAATTTGATATAATATATTTCTATATTTTTTTTTGCCAAATTCAATAGTCTAATTAGTTATATGCTCCTTTATATATATTTTGCATTTAGTTTATTCAATCTATTTTTTAAAGATAGTTTATAGACTTAACTAATCTAATAATATTATTAAAAGTTCTTGCTATCTCTTTACTTAGGAATTTTTAATTAGAATTCTATTTTCCCAGTTCTTTACTTTTCTGCACTTAGTAGTCTTATTATAAGTTTATATCAAAGTCTTATATAACAACAGTTTTAATATTTATATATATATATATAATATTATAATTTGCATAAATGCTTCAAGCTTCAATATTAAATAAAACCCAATTTGGTTTATCTGAATTACAATTGCATAAGACTAACTGATTAACAGAAAAAACTTTCCATTATAAAGATATAATTTTCAAAATTTGCTATTTGTAAAATTTAAACACAAATCTATTACTTAGAAATTAACAACTTATTCACTTTACTAGATTATTACACTCTATGTTAATCAATCTTGAGCTCTTAAGTAAACATATTTATTTAAAAAAAATATCTTTAGTTTTATAGAATAAATAGTTAATTATTTTAATAAAATTTTAAAAATTAACTTAAAATTTTAAAATATTAAATTATAAATTTTTAAATCAAATTAAATTTTATTAATTAAATCAAATTTGATTATATTTAAATTTAATTTGATTTAAAAATTTCAGATTTGAATTTAATTTAAACTCAAATATTTGATCAAAACAAATTAAATCAAATTGTAAAACTCTAATAATTAGAATTAAAAGTTGCTACTAACTAATTAATACTATTAAATACTACTTTAATTTAAATACTAATAATAGAAGCTAAAACTAAGATGTAAACATATTTGGTCTAAAAAATTAGAATTATTAAATTAGACTTTATACTGTTAGGAAGATTTTTGGATTCACAGAATATAAGGTCAAGAAAAATGTGATAAATTGTTGCTCAAAAATACCAAACATCACAAAACTTGCACTATGGAAGAGGCAGAATGATTTGGCAAGACTAAGGCATAAGTGCAAAGTCTCAGTTTATTAATAAGACAGTTTTTATTACTAATACAACTATTACTAATGATGTTTATTCTAAAATACTTTCTTTTTCTAACTCTAAGAAAAAAAGGCACTTATATACAAGAATGGCCCACACAAAAAGAGATAGCACAGATGCTCAAGATCAAACAATTTTCCACTAAACTCAACAGTTTCAGATTCATCATTATGATCGGGACCTTAAATGGCCTCATGCAGCACAAACAACTAGCCCAATTTGGCAGATCTATCCCAACAAATGACTATAGTTTTTAATTCTGCATCATTATAGCATTGTTTCAGATAGGTGTTTTGGCATCCAAGTTTCTCAAAGTACAATTAATGCACAATCATTTTTTTGTTTCGGAAACATTTTTACTATAAGAAAGGCATGGGTCAGGGTGGCACTGGGTTAGAGCAATTCTGATATCTGTTTTGCCTTTAACAATTCTCCCCAACTCAATTTTCACATTCCATGTGAAAATAATGTCACTCAAGGGCAGTCATAAAGTCTTGATCCTTTGTTTGTTCATCAAGTAGTTAAGATTAGTTAGTAGAGTTGAGATCGGTCAGTAGAGTTCACAGTAGTGTTCAAATTACTTTAGCTAATGCCAAAATTTTTTTTTTTTTAAAAAAAAAAATTAACTAATTTATTACTAATCTAAGTTGGTATTAACAAAACATTTAATCAAAAAGTTCACAAGACCATCATGGTCAAACAACAAAAAAATTATAGCTTAAGCACAAGTCATACAGACAAAAAAACAACACAAAAACAATTCAAGAACAACAAAATCAAAAACAAAAAAACAAAAAAACATGTCCACATCTAAGATGAAAGGTACAACCCTTGTTATATGACCCTTAAACCCCACGTACAACTGTTATGAGTAACTATACATACTGAAGAATCTTCATTGGTACTTAGATAGGCACACATACTAATATATGTATTATTATTATTTATTTTTTTTGATTGAACACACATTCACTGTCTTTTATTATACCACTTGATTAGGCTCACATTAAAGGATGCAGCTAGTACCTTTCTATCGACAGTTCTCAATTTATATGCATTGTTTAGAAGCTTGGCATATACATAGAAGGAATCTTTATACTTGGTAAGTTTTCACTCTTGGAATAATTTTTTACAATGTCTTCTAACAAGACTTTTTTTCCAATTTTATACCTAGGGCTTAGTTGGTAGTATTGATTATGATAAGGCTTTTGTTTTACTTGTTTTTCATAGATCCTTTGTATAGCCAGACTTCTCATAACTGGAACTTTATTTACAAGCTCAAAAACTTATTGCAAAATGGTTCTTTCAAGTAACTCTTCATTATGGCTAGGGTGAATAGGCTGTTTGGCTTTATGACTATAGACAAGGTAAAAAGAGGACAATCCAGTAGTTGCATTTCGGGCAGTATAATAGGCAAAAAGTACTGAGAGCACCAATAGATTCCATTTTACAACATTTTCAACTAATTTTCAAGAGCTTCACACAAGGTTTTATTGAACCTTTCTACAAGACCATTTGTTTGGGGATGGTATGGAGTGGAGAAGTGCTGTTTTATACTTAATTTTTTCAACAGGGTCCTTACTACTTCATTTCAAAAGTGTGTTCTATGGTTAGACAAAATTTGATCAGAACATCCATGGCAACAAATTAGATTATTGTATAAGAAATCTGCAACAGTTTGAGCATTAGCTTTTTGTACTAGTGAGCTTTTGGCTATCAGATTATGAAGTCTGTTGCTACTATAATATATCAATTCAACTTAGAGGTTCTGAGCAAAGGACCTACAAAGTCTATACCTATTTTAAAGAAAGGGGCAGAAACAGGTATTGGGTGCAAAGGGCCTTGTTCACATAATTGGATTCTTCTTTGGCAGGAGTCACAAGTTTGCATATATTTTCTTATATTTTGGTATATTTGGGGCCAAAAGTATAGGTTGCAGATTTTTTCAAACATAATGTTCTTATTAAGATGTCTACCAAGTAGATAAGTATGCATTAGAAACAAGATTGGGTCTACTTTATGTTATTAAAGCACTCAAAGAAGCCTTTCTTTAACTCTACAGTCCTTTTTATACAAAAGGACTTCCTTTAGTTCAAAATATTCACTTGTTTTCTTGAGCCATTATTGTTGGTCTTTATTGCACATAGTAGGTAAGTATCCATTTTTCAAATATCTCTTCAGACGAGTATAGTGAGTTGACTCCATAATTATTTGCACTGAGTAAAAAAAAACAAAATATATAAAATTTTTTTTTTTTTTAAATTGTACTAGATACTTTTAAGCAGTTGAATATAGAGAGGTAAGATATAAACAATTAGGTTGCTATTACTGAGTTATGCATGCATGCCAGGATATCAGAAACCTGGTCAGAATTGTTGTAACTGAATTTTTTTTTTCCTTTTTTTTTTTTTTTCTTTTTATAATCATGTTTTTAACATTTGATTGGTGGGTTTCAGTAGTTCAAAAATTTGAAACAATGTGTCAGCATTACTGTGTTTATAACCATGATGATGGATTATTGTAAAATTATAGAGTTGCATTTATAAAACTTATTGAGCATGATGTCCAGTTGATTGAAATGTTTAAAGCCATTTCATGGTTGCATAATTAGTAATAACAACAAAGGGATCTAAGCCAAGGTAGTGTTGGAAGTATTCTATTGCCCACAAAACAGCTAAATACTCCAATTCAGTAGTTATATAATTATGCTCAGCTTTAGTAAGACTTCAACTTGCATATGCAATAACATACTCATTTTCAAAATTATCCTTTTGTGTCAAAACAGTACTCAAACTGTAACCAGATGCATCAGTATGAACCACAAAAGGTTTGTCGAAATTTGGGTAACACAATATAGAGACTTCAATTAAGTGTCATTTTAGCCTTTGAAACACATTTTCTTGTTCCTTTTTCTACTTATACTTAATTTCTTTTTTTAGCAAATAATGTAGTAGGTAAGCAATGACAGTAAAATTTGAAATGAACTTGCAATAATAAGACATTAGTCCTATAAACTTTTGAAGTTGACACAAATTTACAGAGGTAGGAAAGTTTTAATTTTATCAACTTTACAATTATCAGGGTGAACACTATCATGATCTACTATATGACCTAAAAACTGCAATTGATATATAAAGAAGAGCACTTATTTATATTTAGTTTAAGACCAACAATTTTTAATTTATTGAAAACAATGGTTAGGTGTTTTACATAATTTTCAAAAGTAGGTGAGTAAATTATAATGTTGTTAAGGTACACTACAACAAATTTTTCGATGCATTTTGCTAGTACATAGTTCATAAGGCATTGAAAAATAGCAGGAGCATTACAAAGACCAAAAGGCATAACTTGGAACTTGTAGATGCTGAAACTTGTTACAAAAACTGTTTTTTCATGATTCTTTTTATGTACTTTACTTGCCAATAGCCTGATAACAGGTCTAAAGTGGAGAACAAAGTTGCATAACCAAAAACCTCAAGCAAGTCATCAATTTGGAACAGGGGTGACACATCCTTTTTTATGACCAAATTGAGCTTTCAATAGTCAATACACATCCTTAACTTACTACCTTTTTGAGAGACTACAATGATAGGGAACACCCAAGGACTTTTCGATTCAATGACCAACCCTTATTTCTTTAGATTTTTGACTTCTATTTTGATAAACTCTCATACACTAGGGGCAGCTCGATATGGGGTTTGCTTTATAGGGACAGCATTACCAGTATCAATTTTATGTACCAACATATTCGTTTGACTCAAGTTATTCATATTATATGCAAAAATGTCTTTTTCACCATCTAACTTCTCAAGTGTTTTTTGACATTGTTTCAGAAGCAGACTCCTACTATACACATTTTTTTTCAACTTTACTTCAAGAGTTCTTCTTTAGATTCAGGTTCAGATTCATTTAATAGCAACTTTTTTATATGTAACAAATAGGTGGCAGGGCTATAACATTCTTCTTAGGAGTTTCTAAACATTTGATTTTAGAGGTTTTATAGGTAAAGTATTCTTTTGCTTCTTCTAACAATTCATCTTCAAATTTAAATTTATCAAAGGTACCTTTATTCTCATTGTCTTCAAGTTTTATCAAAGAGTTTTCACTATTATATGATATAAGAATTTTAGCAACTTTATAGTCATATTGCATATACAACCTATTCTTATCTATGTGAAGTTGGGCATATGTTCATTTGAACAAGTCCATTTCCAAAAGAAGTGTTTCATCAGTTGATTTGATAACTTAGAAGGTGGTTGGAACCAAAATTCTATTTACAACTAACTTAACATTGACTACTTTTCCTAAGGCTCTTACTCTTGCTCTATTTGCATTTGCAACCATAGTGGTAGAGGGTTTAATAATCTTAAGATCAAGTTTTTTTATCATTTTATTAGACATTATACTTACTGTAATATCAGAATCTAGTACAGCAAGTATAGAGTTATTTCCTATTTTTATATAGCACCTAGCAGCAGTAGTTTTTCCGATTTGAGAGTCTTGAGCAGCATAGGTTTCTATTTGATCAGGGTACAACACTGGTTGTACTAGCAGTAATAGGGGTCATTTTAGCACTTTTGCTAGTTTTTGATGTTGGTCAGGGTACTGCAACATCTGTTTAAGGGTCACATTGGCTCTTGAGTTTATTATATCATCAGATATATTATAAAAGACCAATTTGTTAATTATAGAGAGCTCTCTTTTTCATCTAGGTTTAGAAGGCAGAACTTCTTTGGGAGATGATTGCAAGTTTTTATTTACTTTTATAGAGGCCAACACAGGTATTTTCACTACTGGTAGATTTATTCTTAACCTTTCTTCTGCTTAACTTTCTATTTTTTGGATCGACCTTTTGGTCTTTGTGTTGTGTATAGTTGGTGTTGTGCTACAGAAGTTATGTATACCTCTAGTTCATCTTTAGGTTCATATCCATCTTCATCAAGACCACAAAAATTGACATTTTCATATTAAGGAAGAGCTTGTACATGTGGGTAAGATTGCACTTGATTTTGACCTTTCATATTTCTTGGTCTATAAAAATTCATATTTTAGAATGGGAGCACTTGATTGTTTGAGAGGTTATTTTAGGCTCTTGGGTTTTGATTTAGGTTTTGTTTCTTTCTCTATTCTTCTCAAATATACAATTGCATGAAATATGTCCAGACTCTTCACATGTATAATAAGTTAGTTAGGATGAATCATGATTCTAGTAGTTTGGTTAAGATCAAGATGCTGGAGCTTCATTTTGTGCTGCAAGGACAAAGGTTAGTTTTTTGATTATTGTTTGCATTTGATAGGTTAATTTGTCAAGGTCAGTTTTTAACTTATTAATATCATGATTACTATTGTTATTATTAACCTTATATTTTTCTTCAACCTTTCATTATAGTATTTACCTGTTTCAATCTTTCGAGCACCCACTATAGCATCATCTAACATTATTGGTTTGGCAATACTCAGCCAAAAGGCTATTTTTGGTCTCAATTCTCTTAAATACATTCATATGACATATGATTAGGGCAAGCATCCTTCAGAGTCAATTCTATATAAAATTTTCTTGAACTTATATAAATATGGATCTATTTGCTCAGTTTTTTTTTAAACCAAAGAGTTAAGATCCAGTTGCCATTTATATCATCATTTAGGAGTAGCAAAATATTAAATAAAGTTATATACAAAACTACCTTTGGGTCCTTTTTATTATCTCAATAGTTGAAAGCCCACTTAAAATCATCATATCAATAAGTGGCAATTTTAAGTAAATAGTTAGAAGCTATTTTTACTTTTCTTTTGAAGGCCCAATTATTAGCATCTGCTGCATGGTCAAACAACTCAACCTATTCATAAGGGTCTTTTTCCTCTTCTCCATGAAATAGTTCCATATGCAAAAATTGGTCTCTCATGCAAGTGGTCTTGTGGCAGCAGCAATTTTAATGGTGGCTTCCTTAAAGACATTGAATATTTTCTTTAACACTTTATGAAGAGATAGTTGTGGTTGAGGTATAGTTGAATTTCTATTATCTTGAGCATTACTTTCATCATTAAAAAGGAAGTACTGTTTCACAGAAGTACTGTTCTACAGGAGTTCTTCTGCTATTACTAGGAGTGAAGTAATGATTTATAAGGTCTGGTCTTCATAAGAGACAGTTGGTTATTTGTTTATTATCAGCATAAAGGTTATCCAAGCCTTCAATTTCTTGATGGTCATATTTAAATTTTTTTTATTCAAGGTTCCTTTGATCAATTACTTAAGTACTTGCAAGTTCTATGCAGAAGGTCTTGGTCCAAGTATTGTAAAAGAAAGTATTGCTTTTATTTTTGTCTTTGTTTTTTTTTTTTTTTTTTTTTGTTTGTTTGTTTGTTTGTTTTTAATCTTTTCTTTTTTTTTTGTCCTTAGCTGTTTGGTTTAGTGGTCAGTTTTACTTTCGATAGTAACTGCAGTAGTAAAGGCACTTTTGGATTTAACATATGATGTTCATAATACAGGTAAGAAAAATGCTATACATTTTCTTTTTTTTTTTTTGTTATTCAAAGAAAAGAAATACTAATCAAAGTTCTCAAACTCTATTTATACTAAATACTCAAACTCAAATAAACTCAATTAATAAACTCAAATTTAACACAAAAATCAAATAAACTTAAATTAAATAAAAATCAAGTAAAAAAGTAAAAAAAAAAAAAGTATGATGCAAAGATTAGGTGACATAGTTTCAAAGAGTTGTAGTGTCAGTTGGAAATTCTTCAATTGGAAGAGGAGGGGAAATAAATGTCAAATCTCATAGTCATCCTAAATTGTTAAAGGATTTTTGGATTTACATAATACAGGGTCAAGGAAAATGTGACAGATTGTCACTCAAAAATACTAAACATTACAAAACATTGCACTATGAAAGGTGCATAACAATTTGGCAAGACAAAAGTGTAAGTGCAAGGTCTCAGTTTATTAATGAGATGGTTTTATTACTAATACAGCTATTACAAATGATGTTTATCCTAAAATGCTTTCTCTTTTTAACTCTAAGAAAAAAAGAAACTTATATACAAGAATGACATCTCACAAAAAGAGATAGCATAGGAGCCCAAGATCAAACAATTTCTTACCAAACTCAATGGTTTCAGATTTGTTATTACAATCAAAACCTTGAATGGCCTCATGCGGTACAAACAACTAGCCCACTCTGGTAAATCTATCCCAACAAATGGCTATAGTTTCTGATTCTGCATCATTACAACATTGTTTCAGATAGGCAGCTTGGCTTCAAGTTTCTTAAGATATAATCAATACACAATCGTTTTTTTGTTTCAAAGGCATTCTTACTGTAAGAGGGGCATAGATCAGGGCAACACTAGGTTAGGGCAACTCTGGTACCCATTTTGCCTTTAACAATACTATTTTAGTTTTTATTTATTAAAATAAAAAAAATATTAAAACAAGATTATTATATTAATTTTAATTTTTTATTTTAAAAAGAATTAATAATTAAGCTTGATATGTTATTTTTATTTAAAATAAAGTATTTGGTCTAATAAAACCATTGCTTTTTACTAAATAAAAATATTTTTTAACTAATTATTCAATTGTGTAAACTTATTTTTTTGACTAAAAATATGTAATAGTTAAATTTTTAGATTATAATTATTAGCTAATTATAATTAGATCTTTTTGTAAGCAATATAGATATATATTTACAGCAATCAAATACTGTAGTAAAATTAATTCTACTCTGTAATAAAATGCTATAATGCTATAATTCTAATATAGTACTATATATGAAATTGTTAATAATAAATTATTATAATAACTTACTATAATAAATTACTAATAAGTTATTAATATAAGTTATTATTATAAGAACTATAATAAATTATTTAATAATTAACTAATTTAATATTAGTAATTAATAGTACTATTAACCTTTATTAATATTAACCTCATTAATATTAATCTAAGCCACAAATCAAATTTTTGTAAATTTTTTTTTATATATCAAAATTCCCTTATATATATTAACTTTAATAAAATCTCTCATTAATAACACTATTAACATAATTTAAAACCAATCTAAATGAATTAATATAAATAAAAGTAGGCTGTATTATGATGTAATATAAATAGTTTAAAATACTATTGCTATATAAAAGATAAAATTATATTATTATAAATAATTATTCACTAATATTATAATAAAAAGATAGTTTTTGACTTAAATATAACTTAGTTATTAATAATTCAAATAAAATAAAAATATATTGTTGTAATATTGTAATGCTAAATATATTAAAAATACTTTAAGATTTTACAATCATATTGAAAATTGTATTAATTAATTAAATATGAATTAATAGATATTATATCAGATAATAATAGATAAAAGCATCTTATTTAAGATAAATTGAATAATAAAAATTGTAAAAGTAATTAAAAAGCATTGAAATTTTTGATAATTTGTTTCTTATTTAGTTAAAACTTTATTTGATATTATTAAAAATAAAAATATTAAATCTATATTTTAAAAAAATATTTTATATTTTAAGATTCTATTATAATATTATTTATTAAATAAACTTTTAAATTATAAATATATGAAAATTAAACAACTTGTTAAAATTAGTTTAAATAAATCAGAATATTTTTGGATTACAAATAATAAATAGTCTAATATTTATAGATTAATTATATAATTACAATACTAAGTCTTTTTTATAAAACAATATTTATTAATAAAAAACAATACATAGTGTAAGTCTGATTTTTGAAGTCACAGATGACCAAATTGAAGTGATGTTTCTGACCTAATTCTAGGTTATACAAAAGTGACAGAAATGTCACTTATGTTACTTACATCATTCCTGTAACTTCACTTATATATATGTTAAATGAAATATTAGTGTTTTATTAGAATTAGTTAAAATATAAAGTATAAGAAATTCAAAAATTAAAAAATTTCTTACAAAAATTTTTAAAAAAAACTCTTTCTGCTGATCCCTTTTTTCAAAACATGGCTAAAGTAAATATACTAAGAAAACACAAAACTGATACAACAAACTATATTTAGACCTCTAAGAAAAAAGACTTAGCACACAAAATGCAAATACTTTGTCTTAGCAACAATATAAGCAAAGTCTTGGAAAACAAAACTTTTTCTGACTTTAAGAAATTTTTGAACAAATTTTGAGGAAATCTTAAAAGTATGCTAGACCTAGAAAACAATGACAGAGCATATAACCAGCTATTAATATAAACAACAACAAACAATAGTGCATCACATTAAACAACAAACAACTATATTAGAAAATATAGGTAAGTACAAGATAGCCACTAAATAGATGGATGAATAACAAAAAAATTTAAAAATAAAAATACAAACAAGGATAGGATTGTCATTATATACAGATTTAATTCAACATATCAGAGGGTTCAGAGATAGAAACTGTAGATATATAGATAGCAAGTTACTAGATAAGATTTTATCAAAACATATTAGAAATTCAGATAACTTAGAATATATAGCAAAAGATTTAGCAGTTTATAATTTGAAAAATATTACAGTAAAGGATTTACTTCTTTATGACCAAATCCTTGAAGTGCTTAGAATAGCTGAAGTGTGCACAGTGCCACATAATATCATCAAAGAATAGACAACAAAACTATTAGCAATAGATGTAAATCCAAGCTCTTTTAATCCTCAAATGAATTTTAATAAGGAAGAAACAAATAAAAAAGAAACAAAAATAGAGAAAACCAGAAAGGTTAAAGAAGTGGAAAAGAAAGAAATAGCCATGTCAGGAAAAGAAGAAAGAAACTAAAAACAAGTGAATAAAAAAAGAAGAGATAAATCAAAATTTAAAGAGGGTTATAGAACAAATAAAAGAACTGAGTATTTCAATCACACAATAACCAAGTTCTAGTAATTCTCAAGATACAGTTTCAAAAATGTTGTCAGTAAGTACAACAAAAGAAATGACCAATGCTAAAGAGAAACAAACTGAAGAAAACCAAGAAACATTAATAGATAACAGAATATACAACTTAAGGAAAAACATC